GCATGCTGTTCTTCCCCTGGTTTCCCTCCTTCCCTTTCCAATGCACAGAAGGTGGCTGCAGACTTTCTCACTGCAACCGATTTCTGTTGCCAGCTTCCTGGCTTTATCCTAGCCCAGCCCCCACCTGCTCAGCTGAGCTTCATTGTCCAATCAGAGGTTGCTTCTCTGGCCTAAACCCCTTATGTGTGGCCTGTCTCCCTAATGAGCTGTGAGGAAAGGTTGAAATAAATGGGTGTGTTTAGTCTAGAGAAGAGAAGACTGAGGCAGGGCCTGATAACAGTCTTCAAATCTGTCTGAGGCTGTTCTACAGAGAGCGGTGATCAGTTGGTCTTCAAGTCCCCTGAGGACAGAACAAGAAGTAATCGGTTTAATTTGCCACAAGGGAGATTTACATCAGTGTGACGGGTTCCCGGGGTGCAACTTGGACTGTGGGACTGGGGAGCCCTCCAAATCCCCAACCCTGGGCTGCCTCTCGCACTGTGATGCTGATGTCAAGCTACAAGCCTGACAGGCCCTGCGCTGACACAGACACCTACGGGCAGGGACCTGCCCAGCTGTGTTACATGAATCCTCTCCCAGCCATTGATGAACCAGCACTAGAAGGCGTCAGCCAGTTCCCCCCAGCTCCAGCCCTGCCCCCCAGAACTGCACCGACTCACACTGCTCAAGGCTCCCTCGGGCAGTGCAGGTTCATTCAGTAGTTTGTTGTTCCTCAGTGTGGAGTGGACACACACTGGCCTTTGTAAGCTGAGAACCCCTGTGCTAGTGGACTGACCATTGTATGTATCCAAAGAACTAAATAAGAACATAAATTATCTTTGAAATGGGTTAGTGGGTCTCACGCCAGGTCCTGGTACGATGGGTATCTATATCACCACAAGAATTGTCACTAATTGTCTCCCTTAAATGGTGTACAGGATATAAGTCAGGGCATCCTGCTTCCCCACACTCACAATACAAGACTGAGGAGATGTTCAGTGCAACTGAAAGGAACCATTGTAAAACTGAGAAAAGAAAATACTTTTTGTTTTACACAATTCATTATTAACCTGTGGAACTCATTGCCACATGGTATTACTGAGTTTCATAAATGCATAAAGTTGAAGGCCAGAAAGGACTGTGAGATGATCACATTTGATCTCCTGTATATCAGAGCACAGGCTCCGACTTTCTCATTCCCCTGGGGGTGTTAGACCCCTGTTTAGCCCCGGGACCTTCCCCCACTCCATCCCTTCCCCCAAGGCCCTACCCCGCCTCTTCCTTCCCTTGCTCCACCCCCTCACCCCCAAGCGCATCCTGCCCGCTGCTGAACAGCTGATTCCCGGTGGGTGGGAGGCGTTGGGAGGCAGGGCCAGCTAGCGGGTGGGAGGCGCTGGGGGGGTAGAGGGGAAGCTGATCTGTGGGGCTATTTTTTCTGTGGGTGCTCCAGCCCCAGAGCACCCACAGAGTTGGTGTCTATGTATCGCAGGTCCTTAAATTTCACCCTGTTATTCATGTATTCACCCCAATAACTTGAATTTGACTAAATCCTAACGTGCGTTGACTAAAGTACCTTCCAGAAAGCCAGTCAGTCTAGATTTGAAGACATCAACAGACAGTAACGCTTGAAGCGCCCTAGAAGTGTGGGGGGGGCCCACCCCTGCTCTGCCTCTTCCCCCGAGACCCCATCCCCTGCTCGTCCTCTCCGCCGCCTCCCCCCATCACTTGCCTTTAAGGCAGGTACAAAGGGAGAGAGCAGAGCTTTCCCACTTTAAAAGTGATGGGGCCACGGCCCCTGTGTTCTGGAGCCCCATCAAGAAATGGAGAATCCACCACTTCCCTTGGCAGTTTCTTCCAATAGTTAATCCACCCGCACTGTTAACAATGTCTGTCTGATTTCCCTTTGGAATTTCTCTGGCTTCAGCTTCCAGCAATTGGTCCTTGTTGTGCCTTTGTTTGCTAAACTGAGGAGCCCTTTAGTACCAAGTCTGTTCTCCCCATGATGGTATTTATACCCCCTACTAAAGTGCCAGGGGTCTCTCAGTGCAAGGCATTTTTACAGGCCCTCACATCAGTTTTGTGCGTCTTCTCTGCACCGTCTCCAGTTTCTCAACATCCATTTTAAAATGAGGACACCAGAACTGGATGCAGTTTTCCAATATC